CAGGGGAGAAGGCACTGCTGAGGGGCAGTGATCACAGACGAGGAAACAGACTTCTGCTGACCATTGTCCAGGAGCCCTGGGGCTTCTACTGGAACCCCTGCCTCCAGAGTTCAGGTCTGGAAGGCAGAGTAGTTAAGAGATGAGACTCAGCGGCCAGACTATCTGAGTTTTGAATCCCAGCTCTGCCACTTACATGTTGTGTGATCCTGGGCTGGCCTCTCTTTGTCTCGGTTTCATCTGCAAAATGGGAAGAATAATAGTACTTTCTTCTCAGGGTTGTTGTGAGGACTGAATAAGATGACAAGTATAAAGTGTACAGCACAGCCCCTGGGCTCTAGTGAAGGCTCAGTAATTAGAGCAACCATTGCTAGAATCCTTATTCTAATGATTGTGCTCAGGGCTTCTCACCTCCTCCCCAAATCTGGGATTGAATCCTGTTGGACCCAGGTCTCCTGACCCCCAGGCAGTTCTTTGTGTTTGCCCCCCACCTCTTCCTCTCTTGAAGGTCTGTCTTTAGGGCTCCTGATCCCATACCCACGGTGGGCCTTTAAAGGGCTGACACCCCAACCTGTCCCTGCAGAGGCACCATGGCCAGCCCCTTAGATGCAGGTTGCAGCCAGGCAGATTAGGGGCTCAGCGAGGAGCCTGCTCTCTGTGGCCCTTGACCACCTCCCACCCCTCTGACACCAGGGAGCATCTTCTTGGACCCAGCTGGCTGGGGCATTTCCAGGGGTGGCAGTTCCCTAGTCTGGGGAAGTTTGGATTTAGCTGCCACCCTGGTGCCCCAGATGGGGGACTCTGGGATGCCTGTAGTTGGCCAAGCCCCCCCTTCTCCAGCTTTGTTTGTGCAGGATGGCAAAAATCGCCCGGATTGCTGTCTGGGTCCAGTCCAAGCCTCCCGCCGAATTCCTTTTCCATCGAGTCACTGTGGGCTGAGGTGGGGGCATGGGAGCTCTCCTCAGAGGGCAGAGCTCACTCACCCCTGGCCTTTTCTGCCCAGTTCCTCTTGTTCCCAAACAGCAGCTCAGGGGAGGTGCCAGGCTCAGAGAAGCAGGGGGATCAGTCAGTGGCAGCCCAGGCTGGGAATGGAGACTGGTGGGAGTCAGCAGACCTGGGTGCTGGGCCCACGGCCTTCTGTGTGACCTCAGACAGTGCCCTTTCCCTTTCTAAGCCTCACGAACCAGTTTATCTCTGGGGGCCCTTTACCCTCTGACAGTTGAGAATTTTTCAAACCCATGGCTGCTAACCTAAAGGTTGGCAGTTTGAACCCACCCAGTGGCTCCATGGAAGAAAGGCCTGGCGATCTGCTTCTGTAAAGATTACAGCCAAGAAAATCCTATGGAGCAGTTCTACTCTGTAACCCATGGGATCAACATGAGTCAGAATCAATCTGGCGACAATGAGTTTGGTTCAGTTTGGCCTTTTAGATTCAGCTGGGGATGGGATTGAAGCAGAAAAGTGAGGAGAAAAGCAGGAAAATGCAGGGATTTTGAGATGTCTGGCTTGTTCAAACACGGACGTACTTTCTGTGTGCCTAGTAATGTGGGAACCAGCCAGCCAGAGAGCGTCACACTCTCTGAAGTCAGGTAGAGCTAGATATGAATCCAGCTCTGCTACTTTCTGGCTGTGTGACCTGGGGCATCTCACCTGGCCTGTCTGAGCCTTGGTTTTCTTATCAGTAAAATAACAATAATTATAGTTTGCGTTTCATGGGGTTGTTGTAAGAATTAAGTAAGATAATATATGTAAAGTGCATGTAAAAGTACACGGTAAATGCCCAATAAATGTTAGCTACTATTACTGAATTGTGCCATAAGGGAATTTGTAGGGACTGGGGATGTTTATCCTGACCATGTCCCATGGAGATGTGATGAGCATCCAGGCATCTCAGAAGGGCTGTCAGATTGGAAAGAGAAAGCCCTGGAGGACAGAACCATCAAGAGGAGGTGGAGGTTATTACCAGCTTACTGTAAGAAGCAACTTTCTAGCTAAGAGACGCTAATTAGTGGAAGGCACCTCCCTAGGGTTGTGAGCTCCCTGTCAGTTGAGTGTGTAAGCAGAAGTTTGCACACTCAGGGGGGTGGCTTTGGGGATGCAAGAGTTGTATGGGGAATTGGACCTGGTGATGGCCACGCCTGAAATTCTGAGGTTCTGTGAATTGGGGCAACAAGCTCTGCCTCTCCATAGATCTGGAATCCTCTGCTGTGTGACCTTAAGAGAGTCACATCCCCTCTCAGGACCCTGGATCTATACAGTGAATTTGCTAGAAGGAGATCTGACCCCTTCCAGGGAGTAGAGTGGGGTCACCAATTGCCAGCTCATTCCAGGGTATCATGAGCCCTTGCCTCATTCCAACTGAGCTTGATAACAGTAAGTCCTTGACATCTGTTGCCTTATTGCTGCTCCCAACCCTAACATGAGCGCTTGTATCACCCCTTCTCTGTTAAGGAAATTGAGGAGTGAGGCTCCGAGAGATGTACCAACTCGCCAAGCCCACACAGCTTGCAAATGGCAGAGCTTGGATTTGGGCCAGGCAGGCTGGTTTCTAAGCAGAGCAGAGGAGATGGACATTATGTAAGACGGACATTACAGTGTGGCCTTCTGGGGTGGTTGGCTGCTCCCTTTCTCAGCTCCCCCCAGGGAGCGGCCTGGTCAAGCCCTTCATCTTTTACAGATGGGTTGATCTGGGCTGGAGAGGAGCCCTACCAGGAGGGAGCAGGTGTCATGGGTGGGTGGGGCAGGCTGTGTGCTCTCACAGGTTGAGGGGTTGTGGAGAGCCAGGCCCTGATGGGAAGAGGGAAGAGAGGGGTTGGGGCCAGAGAGCTTGTCACTGGTGGGCCTCGTCTGCAGTTCCTCTGCTGTAGGCCTCCCTGCTGACTCCACGTGCCCAATGTGGGGATCAATGGGCTCTACTCTGGACCACTTTCTGAACCTCAGTTTCCCCATCTATAAAATGGGGGTGGTGGGGAAATAGCATCTCGATAGGGCCCTTCTAGCTCTGAGAGTCCATGAATCCTGAGCTTCCCTGGCAGGATGCCTAGAAAGACTGTCCCTGGAGACCCACTCAGCATGTCATGGCCAGTGCTAATGAGGGCAAAGTAGGAGGGAGGGTAGGGTCAGATTCCTCAGAAACTAATTAGCTTCCCATAGTTGGTGGGGGAAGGGGATGGAGAGAGGGATTTTCCCAGCCACAGACTGAGCTTCTAACACTGGCCACAGGGTGATCCATCTGTCCATCCGCTCATCTGTTCATGCATCATTGTTCAACAAGCATAAATTGAGCACCTACTGGTGAACAAGACAGACAAGGTCATTGCCCCTAAGCTTATATTCTAGTTGGGGAGACACAATAAAAAAGGAAACATGTAAAGAGGATAATTTCAAACTTTGGTGAATGCTGGAACTGGGGAGATAAAGATAAATGGTTGCCTACAGTGTCTGGCAATCTGCTTCCAAAAGGTCACAGCCTTGAAAACCCTATGGAGCAGTTCTACTCCGCACCCATGGGGTGGCCATGAGTCAGAATCAACTGGATGACAATGAACGACAACAGTGAATCTACAGAGTAACAGAGGCCTGACCAGCCCGATTTCTGACCCCAGTTCCCAGACTACAGACTCATTCCGAGCCTGACCCTCGCTGACTTTGTCTCCCATATGTCCCAAAGGGACCTTTTGGGATCAGCAGACAGCTTGGGCTGTAGACCACAGAGAACTGGATCTGATTCCAGCTTTGTCACCCTTAGCTATGTGACCTTGGGTCAGTTACTTCTAAGTCTCTGAGCCTCAGTTTCCTCTTCTGTGAAACAGGGGCAATAATGCCTGTCTCATAGTGTTCATAAAGTGTTTCATAAAATAATGCAAAGTTCCTGCATAGTTGCTACTCAAATTAGTGCCATTTATTACTTTTCCAATGTTAAAACATGAGTATTTTTAAATGATCATTTAAATAAAATGGGAAGGAAATTCTGGAAGGATATTGAAGAAACTGTTAACAATGGTTACCTGATTGTGGTGTGGGCTGTCTGGGGATGGAGGGAGACTTTCTCTGTATACCTGTTTATAAGCTTTTACTCTTGGACCATGTGAATATTTTGTCTGTCCTTACAAAGGGAAATGTTAGTAGCATCTCTCTTTAAAATCAAGCCCAATTACTATACTATGAGTTTGATAGTATAAAGGGCCCTATGGAAGACACAAAGAAAATGTTCTGTGGGCTCATTCATGCATTCAGTAATATGTACTGGGGGCCCGCTTTCTGCCAGGTGCTATTCTAGGGGCCAAGGTTAGAGTGATGAACAAGGTGGACAAAGTCATTGTTCCTAAGCTTATGTTTTAATTGGGCAGTAAGACAATAAACAAGGACACATGTAAAGAGGATAATTCAAACTGTGGTGAATGCTATAAAGAAAATAAACCAGGAAATGGGCTAGGAGAGGAGAAGGCTGATTTTAGAGGGAGGCCTCTTTAGAGAGGTGACATTCAAGTTGAAACCCAAGTGGCAAGAAGAAACCGACATGAATTGCCACTTGCAAAAAGATCATTTCAAGCAGAGAACAGCAAGGCCCTGAGGCAGGAACAAACTTGGCATTTTCAAGGAACAGAAAGAAAGCCAGTGTGTCAGAGCCTAGTGAAGGAGGAGAAGGGTTGAAGGAGCTAAGTCAGGGATGTAGCAGAGGCCTTGACTACCAGGGTGAGGGGTTTGTAACAGTTTGGTGAAGTATCGTATCAACAACCTTCAGGGGAAACCCAAATGAGGACCTGCTAATCCTGGAGGGATAATCAGGGCAGGCTTCACCCAGGTGGTACATTTGAGTGGCCATGAAGGGTGGATCAGAGTTTGTTATGAGAAGAGGTGATTCTAGGAAGCAGTGAGTGAAGATCAACTTCCAGAAAACAAGATCATGTTGAAGGAGGGGTGAGGTGACCACATTCTGTCTGTCTGTCTACACCTGTGGTTCTGCATTTGCATTTGCTAACTGGGTCTCTGTCCCCCTGCAGCGTTGGGCCAGAGCACTAGCCTCACCGAGAAGGATCTGAAAGAGGCCAAGGCACGGAGCCAGCAGATTGCAGCCCAGCTGACCACCCCTCCCAGCTCCAACTCCCGTGGCGTCCAGCTCTTCAATAGGCGCCGGCAGAGGGTGAACAAGTTCACTTTGGAGAGCCACGGCCGGAGAGGACAGAAGCCCAGCCAGGAGTGCCTCAGAGTGCACCCTGACAGCCCCACAGGCCATGCCCGGGGGCTTGGCCTGAGTCCCACATCACACCCCGAGCCAGGCCGTCCAAAGAACTCCAACTCCCAGAGCCCTGGCACAGGGATCCCTGGCCACAGCATGGAGGGGTACTCAGACGAGGCCAACTTGCTGCGGCACCTGGAGAAGGTGGCCAGTGAGGAAGAAGAGGTGCCACTGGTGGTTTATTTAAAGGAGAATGCAGCCCTGCTGACGGCCAATGGGCTCCACCTGTCCCAGAACCGAGAGGCCCAGGAGGCCCCACCGACCCCACCTCTGGCTGAAGTCCATAGCCCAGAAGCAGATGTCAACCAAAACCTTTCCTCGCCCAGCGCCACACTCACTACACCAGCTTCTGACAGCAACCACAACCCGCCAGCCACAGATGTCAAGCAGAACCCACCAGCAGCTGTCATTCCACTGGCACTTTCTAGTGCCCAACAGAATTCTTCTGAGGAACAGCTCCCGCCAAATGGCACAGTGCCAGATTCCAAACCCAGTACTCTATGTGCTGGCGGGCAACCCCAGGCACCAGCTGCAGAAGTGAAATCCAGCACACTCCTAATTGATAAGGTATCAACTCCAGCTTCCACCACCAACACCTTCTCCAGGGAAGCCACTCCCATCCTCAGCTCGGAGGCCTCGACACCAGAGTTCATGTCAAGCTCCCTGCTCATCGATATCCAGCCTAGCAGCCTAGGGGGGTCGGCAGAACAAGAGATGCCTGGGCAGGCAGCCACCACCACACCCGCCAAGCTGTATAGTGAAGTCCACTTCACACTGGCCAAGCCCCAGTCAGTGGTCAACAGGACGGCCAGACCCTTTGGGATCCAGGGACCAGGGGGTACCAGCCATATGGAACGAAGCCCGATGGTAGAGAGACGACATCTCGGGGAGAAGGCCCCAGCCCCCCAGCCCCCCAACCTGGCAGACAGAAGCCCCCAGCCACAGAGACACATAATGTCCCACAGCCCTATGATGGAGAGACGGCCCTTGGTGCAACGAAGTCCAGCTTTGGAGAGACGGCCCTTGGGGAACTTCACCCCACCCCCCACCTACGCCGAGACCTTGTCCACGGGCCCCCTGGCTTCCCGGATTAGGTCTCCCCCCTCTTATTCTGCCCTGTACCCCAGCTCTGACCCTAAGCCTTCCCATCTGAAGGGCCAGGCAGTTCCCACCAGCAAGACGGGCATTTTGGAGGAATCGATGGCCCGGCGGGGCAGCCGGAAATCCATGTTCACCTTTGTGGAGAAGCCCAAGGTTACCCCGAATCCAGACCTGTTGGATCTGGTGCAGACAGCCGATGAGAAGCGGAGGCAGAGGGACCAGGGGGAGGTGGGCGTGGAGGAGGAGCCCTTCGCTCTGGGGGCTGAGGCCTCCAACTTCCAGCAGGAGCCAGTGCCCCGGGATAGGGCCAGTCCCGCAGCAGCTGAGGAGGCCCTCCCGGAGTGGGCCTCGTGCCTCAAGTCACCCCGCATCAAGGCCAAACCAAAGCCCAAACCCAACCAGAACCTCTCTGAGGCATCCGGGAAGGGGGCCGAGCTCTACGCTCGCCGGCAATCTCGAATGGAGAAGTATGTCATTGAGTCTTCAGGTCATGCGGAGCTGGCCCGCTGCCCTTCACCCACTATGTCCCTGCCTTCATCCTGGAAATACTCCACTAATGCCCCTGGGAGCCTCCGAGTGGCCTCTCGCAGCCCAGCCCGGACCCCACCTGCCTCCCTCTACCATGGCTACCTGCCTGAGAATGGGGTCCTGCGCCCAGAGCCCACCAAGCAGCCACCATACCAGATGCGGCCCTCACTCTTCGTCCTCTCGCCCATCAAGGAACCTGCCAAGGTCTCGCCAAGAGCGGCCTCACCAAGAGGTGTCTCACCAAGAGCTGTCTCGCCTGCCAAGCCAAGCTCCCTGGATCTGGTGCCCAGCCTGCCCAAGGCAGCCCTGCCACCATCTCCTGCCCTGCCTCGGCCCTCACGCTCCTCACCGGGCCTCTACACCTCACCTGGCCAAGATGGCCCCCAGCCCACTGCTGTGAGCCCTACCTACAGCAGTGATATCTCCCCCGTGTCTCCCTCCAGGGCCTGGTCTCGAGCTAAGCAGGCCCCACGGCCCTCCTTCTCCACCCGGAACGCCGGGATAGAGGCTCAGGTGTGGAAGCCTTCCTTCTGCTTCAAGTAGCCAGACCCCACAGGGGGTCCCACTGCCTGTCAAGGCCTCTCTCTGAGGGCCCGATGGAGAGCAAATGGGGCAAGAGATGGCACAGGGCTAGTCAGGAGTATGGGAGTCTGAGATCCAAGGTCTGATGCTGCCACCAGCTAGCTTTGTGACCTTGGGCAAGTTGCCTCCCTCTCTGAGCTACAGTAGCCCCTCTCCTACCACATGGGGGGTTGGACTCCCTGTCTGAGGGAATCTGATGTCTGATTCTGGTTGGGGAGGAGAGTCATGGGGAGCGAACTCCTTAGGAGGCTCTAATGAGGCTGAGGGGGCTTCCTTTGACCTTCGCGAGCTATAGGGGTACCAGAGTCTGATGCCAGCGTCTTGCTGGGGAAATGGCCTAGAGGGGGCCCTAATGGGCTTTTGGAGCAAACAGAGCCTGCCACGCCCGTGGAATCAGCTAGCCAAGTGTCTGCCTCCTCAGCTGCCTGAGGGGGGCCTCCCTCGTTGTGGCCCAGTCTCCTGGCATCTTTCTGCCTCTTGCTGGATTCTCACCTCCACAGGCCTGTCTCTTCCACCTCTGCCTTCCAGACACCGCTTCCTCTCCACTGCTTCAGAGAGCTTTGCCTCAGCCTCCACCTTTCCTCCTCCCCTTGGGTCCTTCTGCTGGACGAGGACGTGGCCCCCCACTGCTGTCTGACTTGTTTTCCTGCCCCTCTGCTCATCCACCTCCTTGCCCTCTCCCAGCATCTGGCTCTGCTTCAGACCTCAGTTCTGTTTCCACCTGGCTTGCCCCCACTGCCCTGGGGCGGGGGAGGTTCCAGGGAATCCCAAGAGGAGGAGGATGTGCAGATGTGGGCATGCAGGTAGGAGAGAGACCCCAGCGACATATCCATTGACTAGTTTTGGCTTCAGCCTCAGCCAAGATCTTCCTGACAAAAAGCAGCCATCTTGGTGCAGTAGAATGGGCCCCAGGGAGAGAGGCAGGAGAGGAGGGTTCTGATCCCAACTCAGACACCCATTTGCTGTGTGACTTTAGCCAAGTCACTTTCCCTCTCTGGGCCTCAGATTTCTCATCTATATACTGAGGGCCCTTCCAGCCATGGCAGTCTGTGAAGATAGACTGGCGCTTTGGGAGAAAGGCTTTGTAAGTGACAAGACGGTCCCCTGAGGACAGAGGGAAAGGAAATGGGCTCCTGCTATAGGACAGGTGGAGGTTAGATGTCAGCAAGGGCACCCATTGAGGGTGTGGTTGGAATAAGCAGCTGCAGGAGGCCAAGGGATCTGAAGCCTAGGCTGGGTTGGTTGAGGTTCAGGATTGCCTGGAGATTGGGCAGCATAGCCGGGCTAGGTCAGGAGCAGAGCAGCTCAGTGGAAAGGGATGGAAGAGGCCTTAATGCTTTGAGGAAAAGGCTGGGACTTAGGAGATCTGGTCCTAACAGACTGACTCTGTGTATCTTTGGGTCTCACTTTCCTCATTTACACAGTGATGGTTTTGAGTTAGGTAGTCAAGGTCCCTGCTACCTCTGACACCTTTGATGTGCTGCAGCCCCCCAAAACCAGGCTTGGTGGGGAGTGAGAGAAGACAGATGCAAGAGATAGGATTCAGATGGAAGCATCCGTAGGCTGGGGGGCGAGGACCACTCACTTTCTCTTTCCCAGCCCTATTTCTGGGCTCCCCAGGGTGTGAAGGGTGGTGGGGGTGGTGCCCATGCTGGGCTGAGCCTGTAGTTTTCATGAGCTCCCAGCTTGTCTCCATGGAAACAAGGGGTGCCTTCCCAGTGAGCTCATTCCACCTAGAATGCGGGGGTTACGCGTGGGGGAGTTGTGAGCCAGCTCAGCTCTTTCCTGCCAGCACCCTTCAGGACAGAGTGACACCCCCCACCCTCACCTCACCAGACCCCTGCTCCCTTTGACCCCTGGGGGCTAGCAGTGGAAGAGCCCGCCCTCCATCCTGCAGCTCCTGCGGCCAAGCCGACCTCTTCTCGGACTCCGTTTTCTCGCCTGTTCTCAATACACTCTGCCTCCAATCTGCCTTGCTTCTTTCTTTCTTCCCTGCTCGCCGTCTCCCCACCTTCTCCCTGATTCTGGCCTAGGAAGTGGAGCAGGAGCAGTCACACTCCATTATTCTGTGTGAAAGTTTGGTTGTGGGGTGTCTGCATGCTCCGACATCTGTGGGGTGTCTGGATGTGCCGGGGGACAGACCTGGGCTGGCTGGGAAGTGACAGCTGCCCTCTCTTCCCTAGTCCAGCACTTAGGAAACCAGAATCCTGTGGAAATCACATTCTGCTTTCTCCTTCCCTTGGAGTTTGGCCAGAAATTATGTAGACCATGGGAAAACCCCATAGCCCCTTACAGCCCAGGTCTGTTTGGGTTCTTTAAACATGGAATTTAAAAGCCTTGAGCCAGAGCATCCACTCTCCTGTTCCCTCAGGCCCCCTCCCCACTCCCTATTCTCTGACTCAGGCTATTTCCCACATTAGTTACCACCTGGCTCCTGAGAATATTTGAGTGCACACCCCTGGTGGGGGAAAGAACTGCCACCCAGAGTCAGGAGAACTGGGTTCTAGTCCCCAATCTGCACTTGACACCTTGTGTGACCTTAGACAACCCCTTCCCAGCTCTGGCCCTCAGTTTCCCCTTCTGTGCAAAGAAGGATTGCAGAAGGTGGTCTGGGAGCTCTTTTTGGTCTCTGATAGTTTGTGTCTGACTCTGCTCTACTCATGCCCTCACCCCACACATGTGCCTGGTGCTGGGGTAAGTGGGTGCTGACTTCTGAGTTCTCACCTGCCTCATTTCCCAGGAGTTCTGGTGTATGGTACATTGAGATCTTTGCCAGGAAGTGAACAGCTCTGAATTCCTGCAGCATTTTGTGCTGTGCCCCCCCGACCCCCGCCACCCCTGCACACATACATGCACAGTCGGTATTCAGACATGGAGTTAGTATGAGGTCAGCCTCTGGCTTTGCTTGGCCACCTCCAAACGATGGGGAGCTGCTCACCACTGCCCCCAAACCTTCCAACCCATGCTTGAACTGTCCTGTTTATAATCCTGGCTGAATTTTGTTACTCCTTCCACTCTTCGGCCCTAGCATTCCCTTTGTGGCCACCAAAGACAGAGACCACTCTTTAGAAATGTTCAGACAGTTAGAGTTCCAGTCCATCTTCTTGTGGCTAAAGAGCCCTGGTTCCTCTGCCTCAGTGCTTATGGACTGGCTTGGATCATGAGCTCGGGGCTCCACCTCCCTGGGTGGCACTGTAGTTGGGTGTTGGGACCTGCCTGAGCCCACCCTGACTTGGCATTTGGCTCTGAGACTCTGGTCTCAGCCTCCAGCACTTCCCTCTGGCCCTGGGGGAGGGACCTCCCTCCCAGCTCCTCTCCCTTTGTTACAGGGTCTGCCTCCTGCATCCAGGCTATCTGAAAGCTTCCTGGGATGTCACACACACACAACAGCTCCCAGTGTCTCAGGCTCATGTGTACATAACTCTGGGGGTGAAAGGAAGTAGGTCCCACTCTGAGCCTTAACTTTTCTGCCTGATGGCTGGGGGCTTGTGTGTCCCCAGGAGTTCTCTAAAAGTTGCTCCAACACTACCATCCCATGAAAAAATCTCCTGTTCAGGCTGCTGTACAACATCCCCCGTACGCTAAAGGGCTCTACTTAGTCTGGGCTCATCTAGCAGCTGCTGCATTCTGTTTGGAAAAAACAGACAATTTATGTCCCTTTCTTCCTTTAGGTTGGGAGGAATTAGATTCTGGTTGGATGAAAGAATGATTGGCTTGATTATGGCTGATTACTGACTGGATGAGAGACTGGATCTTGTGGATGGTTTTAGATTTTGATTGGGTAGGAAACACTGAAGGACTGGCTAGCTCCGGACTCTGATGGATGACTGCTGGTGAATTTGGACTGGAGTGCAAAGCTGAGTGGACTGGTTATTGCTGGAATCTGATTGGAAGAATAGTCGAATGGTTTAGCAGGTGCATGCTAGTTGTGGATTCCCGAGCTCTCCACTTTCAAACCAGTTCAAACTACTTAAACATGGTTTAGCTTTTGAGCAACAGATAGTGTTACACAGACAGACACACCACACACATTTCCAAGTGGAGCAGAACACACTGGGTGGTTATGTCTCTGAGCTTCATTTTCCTCATTAGTAAAGTGGGAAAGATAATACCAGTTACCTCACCGGTCTATTATGAGGATCTAATGAAAGATAAAGGATGAGACTAAACCATGTAGACTAGAAAGTCCTTAAAGAATGTAAAAACAAATGGCATTGTGGTGTCAGACCTCTTCATCTCATGCCAGGAGGAGGAGAGAGACTCACCGCCAGCATCAGCCCAAGGCTGATTGCTATGAGGCGGAGGTCAGACATGCCTCCTCTCTCCAAACTTTTCACCAATTCTAACACCAGCCGTCCCTCCACGGCACTCTCTACTTCTCTGCTATTGTTGTTATGTGCCATCAAGTTGATTCTGACTCAGCGACCCCATAGGATAGAGTAGAACTGCCCCATAGGGTTTCCACGGAGTGGCTGGTGGATTTGAACTGCTGACCTTTCGGTTAGCAGACTGATCTCTTAACCACTGCACCACACTTCTCTGCTGGGTTCGATAATTCGTTGCAATGGCCACACAACTCATAGACCATACTCACACTTCTGGGGTTTATTAAGGACATATAGGCAGTCCCCAGGTTACGAACGTCTGACTTACGGACAACTCATACTTGCTCCTTAATGTTATGGAACTTTGCCCTCACTTTGAAACAACTGAACCAACCCTTACAACAAATTCTTCATCCCAATCACCTTCACTTGCTGTGTGTGCAGCTTTTAAATCACTGAAAAGGCTTCAAGCCTTTTTTTGCACTGAAAAACCCAAAACCAAACCCGTTGCCATCGAGTCGATTCCTACTCATGGCGGCCTTATAGAATAGGGTAGAACTGCTCCATAGGGTTTCCAAGGAGCGCCTGGTGGATCTGAACTGCCGACCTTTTGGTTAGCAGCCGAACTCTTAACCA